GTATTTATATATTTACATATATATGTGTTTATATATATTTGTATATATATATATATATATATATATTCGAGGACAACCGTCTTTCACTTCTGCAGCTACCAATGATGTTTTGCGACAATCATAGCTGCCTGTATGCACACATCCGGTTTTTTCTATGTGGCCGTCTCGACAATCTTAGCTTCATATTTGACATGTCGTTGACACTTTTATTTGCATGAGCAGTTACCGATATTATCGATGGACACGAAAGAACTAATTCTCCGCAAACGATTCCCGATGATCGATGCCGAAACCATGGAGTCTTTAGTAACAATATCCAGTCGATTGCAGCAAACAGCAACGGTAACAAGAATATTTCTGGGCTTAAGTATAGTTCATTCTTCTATCTATGCACGTATGAGTGCATGTATCCCTGTCTGTATGTTTGCATTCACGTGAGCTCGTTCCCGGTTCTAATATATATATATATCTTTGCATATATATGTGTGAAGTTGATTGCAGGTATGTGTCGCGATCGATGGAGAGGTATATCTGAGCACCATTTTGGAATGGGGTTCTGCGTAGGCTGTGTAGACAGTTCACTTCCGATTTGCCCACTAATATTTGTCTCTCTTTATCTGATGACTCATTTGAACTCATCGGCAGGACTCGCGCGATGTCAAAGCGAATGATCTGAAACTGTCCATGCGACAGCTCGTGCGTATTGCCAGACACGCCGAACAGTTCCCGAATGACTTGAGAGAAGGTGTGCATTCTGATATAATTACATATAGTATATACTCTTGAACGTAGCAATGGCATACGTCCACATATCATGGTCACTTGCAATTAAGTTTTTCTCTTTCGTAAAATAGTCTTATTTTAGTTGTTTATCTCACGATACAGTTGTGGAACGTACCGCTTTGTCCCGCTTTCTGCCCACGGCCATTCGAGACGCTTTGGATGACACGTTGACACTCGCAGGTGTCAGCGAACCGATTTCAACCATCAATGAATACACACCGTTGAAAATTGAATACGATTCTGAACTTCAGACTGGCGTGAAAACGCACGTGCGCATTGGCGAGGATGTAAGACACCCCGTTGCCATGCCAACCAGCCCACACCTGGTCCCTCATGTCGTGTTTTTTGACATCCCAAGCCATCTGCGTATCATTCGCGATATTGTTAAGGACTTTGCAATCGGGGTAAGGCCATTTTGATGAACATGTTTTGAGCTATGCTTACAATCTGCACAGCGAATTGCATATACACCCGTGGTTCATGCCAGGCTCAGAAGGCTTGGGGGTGTACTGTACACCGATCAAATCAATCATTCGCCATGTTGTGATAAACATCGTATTGTGTGTAATTCATTTGTATTTGGTAGTGAGCATTGCAGCTTTTGTTCAATACGTTCAGACTTCTGCATTCCCGCACAAATCTCAATGACACTGTGGACATATATCTACCCGTAGTGTACTTTACCAATGCTTGTGTTAATCCCAAGATGGCTCAGAAGATAGTACACTCTCGCCCACTACCAACAATAGTACAGGTAGCATAGTTCCCAAGCACAGGCAAGGGCAATAGCACATAATTTCTATATTCTAATATTTGTTAACATACAAGATTCTACGGATTATATGTAGGCATATTGGTGTGCAATTTCGGGTCTCGGATACGCAAATAAATGATTCCTAACGCTTGCTCGCACAGAATCGACACGTGCTGCTCATAGGCAACCAAGGCACCGGCAAGAATAAAGTCACGGATAGGCTGCTCGAGGTGTTGGCGTTGGAGAGAGAGTACATCCAGCTGCACAGAGACACCACCATCCCACTCCCTCACGTATGTTATATATATATATATATACCTATATATAACGATATAACGATATATACACAACTATATATATATTTATATTTATATATGAATATGAATATATATAGAAATATATATATATT